TCTCCGCCTTGCCGACACCCGATCTTTCCAGGATAGGGCTAGTTGCGAGGGTCCCCGCGGCGAGTATGACCGACCTGGCGGCCTTGACGTTGAAAATCGCGTCCGTATTTCTAGACAGCGTTGGTGAGAAGCTCACACCACGTGCTTTCAGCCCCTGGTCGAAGCGGACTCTATGAACAGTATGATTTGCAAGAACCGTCAACGAGACTCTTTGCTGGCTTGGCGCCCATAAAAGAGCATCTGCGGCAGAAGAACGCCTCATTTTGCCCGTCGTCGTATCGTGCCACATTGTCCAGGATGTGGAGGCCGAGACGACTGAGGTTCTGTTCGAGAGGTCATTGCCAATGCGGAGACCTGAGAAGGCATGTGGCAGGGCTTCTTTGTAAAGCTTGACGGCGTTTGGAATCATCATGGGCGTCTGCCTACGGCTTTAGTTTCTTCGCGGGCTATTGAGAAAAAAAAAGTTGCCAAGGCACCGACTTACGGCAAACGAGGTGTTGACAAAACCATGGTAGCCATGTACCGCCGGGTCATGGCCCGCGCCATCGGCAATCTGTTCGTCCGTCGGCGGTATATTTCGCTCAATGGCCTCCATATACTGAAACCGCCTCCCCAAAAAGAGAAATCAGAGAAGAACCACAAAGGAAAAAGAGGTCAACAAGCAGTTTCAAGAATTCTTACAGGCTGAAGCGTCCTCCAGTTCCACCCAGGATTACCAAGATCTTCCAAACGGTCGATTTCAGCTTCCGTGGGTCTATACCAGACCATGCCATTTACTGGTGAAGAGAAAGAGGCGAGGCAGTGAGTTTCAAGTCAGACAAGGAGATGTTTTATTCGAGGGCCGGCAGAAACTTACTAGAGGTTGAACCGCCGATGCAGGCACCGGCATCAATGGTCGAGTTCAGCTTGTGTCCATCATTGTCATGGATGGGATAGTTCCAGTTGCAGTAGGTAGCCGGGTACGGCCGATCACCGGCTTCAAAGACGGCGGGATTCCACGAGCCATCGGGGCCGGCCTCGATGATGAGAACGGAATGGCCTGGGGCGCTGAGCTGGATGACGACGACGACGACGACGACGACGACGACGACATGTCCTAGCATGAGACTTTAATGAAATAGGGTGGCATGCGGCCCAAAAAGAAAAACGTGCCTTGTTTGCGACAGTAATGCCGGAGAGACCTGCCCCGACAATGACAAAGTCAAAGGTCTTGTTCGACACGATCTGGGGGTCGTCTGTTATGATCGTTGCACGGGCTAGCCCTAGAACGGCGATCGCCACGAGGGCAACGGATGGTAGCCTGGGGGACATGATGGACAGAACCGTGGCCGTCTTCTGTTTAATGCCAGTCATGGGAGTTGTGGTCGGCATGTCGGGGCTCTAACGAAGAAGATGGCGCAATATTGGAACACTTGGAACTTGGAACAGCGGGAAACTGCGGGTCCACCGACTCGATTGCGGGGGAAAATAAAATCAAAGTCTCACACAGACACGCTGTCACGTTTCACTGAGAGCCTGCTTAGCCGACAATCGATCATGTCTGACCCCATCTGGCACATCTCACATCGGATATGCTTGCGCTACTGCTGTTTTCCGCGACGACAAAAGTCCAAGGCCGGGGAAGAATCCCACTACAGCCAGCCGGCAGCCGGATCCGGCCCGCGAGCCGTTCGGACCGTCGCGCTAGTGGGCGCTACTGCTTGCGAAGTTGTGTCCGTTGAGACTTGAGAAGTCGTGGGCCACTGGCCCACTGGCATCGTGGTTGAAAAGTGGGCGTTGTTAGGTGGAGAAATGGTGCGTTGAATGGTCATGGGGCAGACTCGCCTGGCCATTCACGTTCATGAGTGCTGACGGAAGTGAACTGTGATGATCAATTTTTTGTTGACCTGGGCTTCTCGGCATCAAAATGAACAAGAAAACTGAAAATTAACTAGCGTTGGCCTCGCTCCAATACCAAGGGAGAAATTGCCGAGATGATTGCCAGCGTCTCGTCGTTGTCTAGCCAACCTCGGGAACAGAGTGCTTTCAGCTACTGCTACTTGCCAAAGTTTTGATCGATCAATCTCAGAGTCTCACCCATGGCAACCGACTCCAAGCTTTGGACAGTGTGGCCGGCCCCCGACGGACCGGGGTCGTTCAATTCCGCGACGGGCCGGACGTGATCGAAACCGACCTCGAGTATCGTTCCCCCAGCGTGGTCTTTTTGGGTGATCAGCTCGAGAATCACGTTGGCAACTCGCCCCGGGGGTATCCACCGGTCCACGCCCTCTTCAACCCATGCCAGCTTTTCACCCCAGAGCGGCGTCTTGACTATGCCTGGAGCGACTGCATTCACCCGGATGTTCAAGGTAGGCTCCAGATCGGCCAAGCAGCGGACGAAGCCCGACACGGCGTGCTTGCCGGCCGAGTACAGAGGGGCGGGCAAGAAAGGCATCTGAGCGGCGATGGAAGAGATCAGGACGACGACTCCGTGGCCCAGACGCTGGCGTTTGAACGAGTCAATGGCGAGCTGGGTGGCACGGATGGGATGCGTGACATTCACATCGATGCTCCTGAAGGACGACGCCTCGATTGTATCTGCACCTTGATTTGGGCACCAGAAGCTGGACACGTCCTGGACGGGGACAGAAATATGTCATCTCAGCGGTGTCCCAAAGAAAAAGAAGCGAATCGACCGATGATCTGGGGAGAGGACACGCAAACCAACCTGTGGGTCAAAGATGCCGGCGCCCGGGATGACGATATCCAGCCGACCGAACTCCTGAATTGCATGGCGAAACGACTCGTCTAGCTCTCGCCAGTCCGTGACGTCGGTCCGGATGAAGGAAGCGCGCGCATCGTCCTCGTGGGCAGCCTGGACGAGCGCATCCGACTCCTTGCTTGGCTTCAGATCCGCAATCACCACACAGCAGCCTCCTGCCAGAAGCTGGCGGCTTACTTGCAAGCAGATGCCAGATGCGCCGCCCGTGACGAGGGCAGTCTTGCCGCGAATATCCAGTGCCATGGTGCCAGAAGCCAGAAGGAAGAAGTCAGCAAATCGAGTTTTCTCGAGGGGAAGGGGGGGAAGGGTTGGAAAGGGGGGAAGGGGGGGGGGGTGGTGGTGTGTTTATGGCATGCAAGGCCACGCAGTTGGAATTTTCCGCCAACAACATTGGTAGGCGTCATCTTGGCGTACGCTTTGCCACCTATGCGCCATTCGTCGAACCTTCTCCCGCTCTGACGCTCTCTCTCCAGGGGGGCAGAGGGAAACATGATGAAGGCAATATGAAAAGGATAGGTGCGGAAACACAAGGGGCGGGGACGGCGATCTGGACCAGTGGCAAACCCAATGGGGGCGTATAAATGCATCTCTGTCTTTGGTTTGGTGTTGCTGCAGCCCGAACACCGGATGATACCGCCGCACACGCGTGGAGAAGCGGAGGAAGCGTCGGGCTGCAGTTGGCTTTGAACCCCGGATCCCCCATGTTTCTTCCTCACTCGCGCCATTTGAATGGTGACACCAGGTACGGGCGGGCGTGCCGGGCTGACGAAAGACGATCCATCTCGGCCGATTGATGATGGACGTGATGGGTTTGACAGGTAGCAGCCCGTATTTTTGCAAAATACTTGGGGGTTTGCGTATTATCTGATGGATGGAAGCAAAAAGATGTTGCCCGTTTCGAGAGCCTGTTCTTGCACTTTCAAGGTCAAATCATTCTTCACCATTGCCGACTTTGCCATCATGTCGCCCCATGCATCGATCTGTAACACGCTGCAGAAGCGGTGGCTGGATCGCCGACGTGGAAGGGGGTTCGCGCCTGGCATTCCACGCGGTGCTCACTGCCCAGTGATCAATCAAGGTGTTTAAGCTGGACAAGGACGTCGACGTCCGGGCTTCGCTCGAATTGTAGCACGGATATCGTCGACCCCGCCCATGGAGGTGTATTGCAAAGGCGGCGGCGGCGGTTGGGCTCACATATGCCTGGCCATGATCACTGATTGTCGAGAAGCTTCTTCATCCGCAACGGCTGGTCCCGTCGCCAAAAAGGACGACCTTTCTCCTGTCGAAAAGGCATGGGAGTCTTGCCTCCAGCCCTTCACGAGCACGCACCCAGGCGAAAGGCGGAAGGCGAACGGCGTGTCTGTGCCGACGCCCAGCAGCTCGTGCCGGAAACAATCCTACCCCCCGAGACCGCGTACCTCCTCTTGGACTCTTGGACCACACGGTTCGCCCCTCCCCCCCCCCAAAGGCCAACGAGGCCCAAGACACGGACCGACGAGCAACACACATCATCCCGGCGAGGCCCACCGTCCCCATCCCCGTCCGTCCAGCTCATCCACTGCGACCACACGACCGAGGCGAACGACCTCCTCCCATTCCACTTCCGCGCGTCGCTCCTCGTCAAGACATGTGGAAGGCGCCGTTCGTGCAGGATGGAGGAAACGCCGCCGGCCATGCGCGATGCGATGCGATGCGATGCGACGCGACGCGACGGCGTGTTCAAGCCGTTGTACTGCGATGTCGCCATCGCGCGGGCGAGAAAACCATGCCATGGCGCTGTTCGGCCAAGTCACAGGTGGTACTCCTGTCGGGCGATGATGTACATACATGCGATTCTGACGAGGAATGTGCGCGGGTTCGATTTGGTCTGGGGGCGTTGTGCGTTTGACGGAACCGACCGTGTCCAAAGCCCGACGCTCCGTTCTCGCGCATTGGTGTTTTCTGAGTTGTGGGGGTTTTTTTTTTTTTTTTTTTTTTTTGAGCCAAGCTTTGCCGCGGCATCTTGGACGGATTTCTTTTCTTTTCTTTTTTTTTTTAAGTAATGAACAAATTGGAATGCGCGTCCAAGCAGAGATAATGTTGTGTATAGGAGTGGTTTTGTCAACCGGAAGCTCGGCAGTGTGCATGGGATGGATGGGTGGGCAGGAAGCAGGGTAGGGGGGAGGGCGGCGACGGGCAAATTGCACGCATTTGGTGTCAGCTTCTTATATGTGAATAACCCCTGTCGTTTTGTGGAATTGGGGAAATAGTGTAGGGGTTATCGCGTCCGCTTTGCATTCTCTCGCCTGCTTGCGGAAGGTCCGGGGTTCAATTCCCCGTTTCTCCATCTCGCGATCTTTTTTTTTTCACCTGCGATTGCGCTCTCCCACTCATTGTGGGTGTCTGATTTTCTCCCTACCTAGCATCTTTCTTTTCCTCCATCTTCTTTTTTCCGTTTGTGTTTTTGTGCTAGCATTGTTAACAATCATGGTGTTGCGTACTCTCAACTGTTTCCAGCTGCCGGCCAGCCGTGCGCTACATTATTTTAGTTTGATCGCGGGTCGCCCCGTGGGCGGGTGACGTATGTGTGTCATTTCTGCAGACCAATCGGCTCAAAGTACATGTGCGTACATTGATCGGTGGGAAATCGGAGCAAGCACGCATGCGCCTCAATTCCACGGTCACCAGCTGCTCTGCCATTCTTCTCTTTTCTCTTCTCTTCTCTTCTCCTCTCTTCACTCGCACCACCCGCTCTATCATTGCTTTTTTCTTTTTTCTCACGGAATATCCCGTGCAGGCCACGTCCTCAGAACCCCCTGCTTGTCTGGCGTGGAAGGGTTTTGGGCGTCGACGCCAAGTCACGCTGCCGCATGGCATCGTGATAGGCTAAAAGGCTCGATCCTACCTAGCAATGTAGCCAGAGTGCAGCAGCAGTGCCTGGGATGAAACTGGAAAAGAGCGCGAGCCACGAGAAGTCGAGACGATGGAAGGATAAAAATGACACAAGCACGTTCGATACCTGTCTCCCTGCGCATTGGGGTTGCACATTGCACACCAGTCCTGGCGTATCGTGCAGAAAGAAGGTGGATAATGACACGCAGGGAGCTGATTTTTGCGGCAATTTGTCTCTGTCATATCATGGGGCAAAAGCACGGTGAGGAGTTATACAGATGGGGATGAACAACGGGTCAGCCCATGCTCCCGGGGTGGAATGTATAAGAGCAAGCCTTCATCCTCCAATGCTTGGAAGTGAAAAGCATGGTTCAAGCTGAAAGCAAACGTTGCGCCTTCCCTCACTTCCTCAGTCTCACAACTTTCTCGTGCCTGGTTAGCAACCAATCAACCAATCACCCAGGAAACAACAAGGAGAAAGAAGACGAAGAACAAAATGGCAAACCAGAGTCCGGCGGTTCTCGTCAACCACTGCACGTGGGAGTCCAAGATAAACCCGCAGGGCGAAAGGGACCTTTATCGGAGAGACTGTGGGAAAACAACCTGCCCCTCGTCAGACAAGTACAACGGGCCCCATACGAAGTAGGAACAGAAGGCGGATGAGGAAGAAACGAAAAAGGGGGGGCCAATGGGTATGTTCTCCATCACGAAGAATATTTGACGCGAAAAAAAAAAAAAAAAAAAAAAAAAAAACGCGGACTGACCCCACAGAGCGCGGAGGGGCCAAATGGGCCGATGACGGGAAAGGATGTCTTTGGGGTTGGGGGTTGGTTGGACTGTGGACGGATGAGCAGGGCCTTCGTTTCGTGAGCTGGGAGCGGAGTCAAATCCAACTGTATAACGGGGACACACATGTAGCCAGCGTCGAGTAACTCCAATGAAGGCTTTTTCCGACTTGTTGTGGGAATTCGGATGCGTCTTGGTGCATGGGGGCTCGGTGCAGCACGTTGATGTTGGAGGTTGGATGTGCAATCTAAAATCGTGGTGTGATAAACTGCGTGATGCTAGAAGCGGGGAAGCGGGAAGCGGGGTAGGAGAGGGGTTACTGCCCTGGGGCCTGGGCAGTGGGCAGTGGGTGGGGCCTGCTGTTTCTACTATCTCTATATCATCTCTACTACGAGGTACTTAGTACTTTGTACTAGGCTACTACGAGCTAGGCTCGACGTGTCATCATCAACTTATCAACGTCCTGTTTGCCCTCGGGGAAAATAAGTCGACGACTCGCAACAGGAGCAACTCCACGTTGCGCACCCGTGCATGCCGCTCGGGCCTGCTGGGCAGCCTCTATAAAGGGCAACGTGCACATGTAGGGGCCTGTTTCCCCGACCTTCTGGCTCCCAGCAACGCGGCGCCAGAGCACTCGTCGTCGCACTTCGCCAAAGCACTTCGCCAGAAAACCACCATGGCAGCAGCAACAGCAACAGCAGCAGCAACAGACAACCACAAACAGCGCTCCGTCTACATCCTCTCCCTTCTTGTCCTGAAAGAGGGTCAGGATCCCAGGCATGTCGACTGGCAACGGGACGGGCTCTTGAGTGTGGAAGCCTACCAGGGCTCCAACGCGTGGCATGGCCGGATACCACTTCGGCCGCACCGGGACGACTGGCCTCGTGACGGGCCCCAGACCGACCTGTCCAAGTTTGATGAGCTCGTCAAGCTGCTCCGCCCCGTGCCCAAGCACAAGATCTATCCCACCTTCCTCCCCCAGGAGCTGACCCGGTACGAGCCCGAGCCATCGGCAGGAGGAGGCGACGACGGCTCGGCCGTGTACTTCAAGGCGCCCAAGGTGGCCCACTACCGTGGCGATGGCAGCGATGAGATTGCGACCCGGCTGCTCCATGAGGCCAAGATGCTGGAGGTCATACGACGCGATCCGCATCCCAACCTGGGCGGCTACCTCGGCTGCGTGGAAGAAGACGGTCTGCTCACGCGCCTGGTCTTCAAGAGGTACAGCAAGTCCGTGCAGGACCTGCTCGACGATGACGTGCCGGAATTCACTCCCCAGCAGCGCGTCGAATGCATGGACCAGGTGGAGGCGGGGGCGGCGCATCTGCACGCGCTGGGGCTCGCCCACAACGACATCTCCCCGTCCAACATCATGTTTGACGGACGGGACGCGGTCCTGATTGATTTCGACTGCTGCGCCCCGTTCGGCAGTCCCCTCAGCAAGGGCGGATGGGTCACTGGCTGGAAGGGCCCCATGGACGGGGAGGGACAGCAGTTCAAGGAGTCGTCGGCGGAGTGCGACAGGCTTGCCATTCGGGAGATTCGAAAGCATCTCGGCGTACTGGGTGACTGATGGTGAAGAGGACCCGCGCGATTTTTTCTTTTCTTTTTCTCTGGACGGCATATTCTATGCGTGGGAGGGGGAGTGTATCGCCAGTCATGTACGGCAGAGACTTGGACGGCGACGCAGACGTGCTCGGCTGCTGGTCAGCTCGTTGCAGTTTGCAAAAACATGTCAACAGGGACATTTTTTTTTTTTTTTTTTTACTTTTTTACTCTAGAAAATAGAATCATCTGGCGAGAAACATAAAAAAAAGGCCTTTGCTCCGTATCGCGAGACAGAACAAAGAGCGTGGGGTGATGGTGACCCGCTGGTGGTTGAGAGGAGAGCAAGTATGAGGTCGGGGTTTGGTGATGAGGATTCTCACTCTGCGCCAGCTCAGGAGCTCGGGTTTCAGATCCGGCCTTGGACACATGACATGATGACATAAGGATGATGAGGCTGGCCTTTGGCAGGATGAGCTTTCAGTTTCAGCCATCCGAGACGATGTGCAAGTGTGCGGGTCGATCTGCCAATGGAAACGGGGAAAAGACGAGTTTTCCAACGCCACCGGCCTCATCCCGCGCTGAGCCCATCCTGAATGAACCTTGGATTCCTTTGACCATGGGTTTTTCCTTCCCCCCTCCCTCGCTCCTTCCTTCCCTCCTTATTCAAGTTCCAGTTTGATAAAAGAAAATCCCAGAAAAGAAGAAAAAAAAAATAACACATCCCCAAATTCCTGTTGTAGCCTCCTTCCGAAAACTTCGCATGCGATGGCGTCTGCTTCCACCGCTACATGCAATGCAACCGCGCCACGTCACACCGTCTCATCGACGCTCACGGACCACTCCTCGGCCCCGGCCCCGTCCCCGTGGCGGCTCGTCATCATCTCCCTGGCGGTGTTGTACCCGGTCGTCTGCTCCGTCTTGCGCTTCCGGCGGGTGAGGGCCACGCGACGCGCCTTTGGCTTCTCCGATCGCCGGTCCTTGGCCGCCATGACGAGTGTGCAGGCGCAGTCTATTGTGCGGGATTTGACCGAGTGGGAGTTTCCGTTTCTGTTTCGAAGGTCTATACAGTTTGCGCTGTTCAAGGTGGGTTTCTTTTTCTTTTTCTTCTTTTTTTTTTTTTTGCTTTTTTTTCTTCTCCTACTTTAGAAGGAGGTTGGGGGGGTTGGTTGGAGAGGTAAAAAGAAGACGGAAAGGAGACAACGTGGTGATGACAATATCATAAAGAGATGACAAACACAAAAAGTATGCTTGTAAGAAGGGTATAAAGAAATAGAGAAAAAAGAGTGTAAAAGACAAGAAGGGAAGAAAGCAAAAGACATGCCAAACCAAACGCATCATTAACACCCCGCCCAGACATATGGCATCCCGACCATCTCCAGCCTCCTCGTCTCCACGAAGCTGTTCAGCAACCGCAAAACGGCCAGCAAGCGCTACGAAGACACGTCGGTCCTCATCGGCGAGTTCATCACCCACCCGCCCGACTGCCGACGCACGCGCCAGGCCATCGGACGCATCAACTCCCTCCACAGCCCCTACATCAAGGCCGGCACCATCTCCAACCAGGACCTGCTGTACACCCTCAGCGTCTTCGTCACCGAGCCCATCGCCTGGATCGGCAGGTGGGAGTGGCGGCCGCTGACCGACATGGAGGTGTGCGCGCAGGGCGTCTTCTGGAAGTCGGTCGGCGACGCCATGGGCATCGAGTGCGCCGGCCTCTTGGAGCGGGACTCGTGGCGGGACGGGATCGAGTTCGTCGAGGACGTGACCGCGTGGGCGCGGGGGTACGAGAGGGAGAGGATGGTCCCGGCGGACACCAACCGGCAGACGGCGGATGAGCTGCTGAGGCTGCTGCTGCATTGTGTTCCGACTCGGGGCGGGCGGGCGTTTGCCAGGCATGCGATTGGGGTCCTGTTGGGCGAGCGACTCCGATCTGCCATGATGTGAGTCTTGTTTTGCGGCTGCTCATTCCCCCTCCCTTTCTATTTTTCTTTGCCTTCAACAACGGATCAGAGGCTCCGTTTTTGCGGAAGAAGGAAGGGAAAAGGGCTTATAAAAGACTGCGTTTTTCTTTTCTTTTCTTTTTTTTTTTAAAAAAAAAAACCAAAAAAAAACTAAAAACTA